TCCAGCTACCAGCTGTGCAACTATGTAACCTTGTCATAAGATTTCGAACTTCTAACAGGTTGTCTTGAAGGAGTTAGCATGAAGGGATCGCACGGAATCCCCCAGTGCCGAAACCTGGAGCGCATACGTGACACAGTGTAAATTTTGCATGAACTTGATCCGTGAGTACAAGGTAACACATCAACAGGAATTAATGAAGCGATTCTACACGAACAGCAAAATCTTATGCATACATAATAATGGCCATCATAAAGTGCACTGCAGAATTACACTACTAGACATGACTGATGGGTGTACGCGGTCAGTAACGGAAGCAGCCGATATCTTACGGTTCAACTGCACTCATGCTTTTCCTTGGATAACTGGCTCGAATATTCTCCCCGTTTCTATTACCCCACCATTAGGCCTACCCAATATTACCTTCAGTGCAAAATCTGTCATGGCGAAGCTGATGTCACTGGGTATTCAGAACTCTCCTGGTGTCCATAACATTCGGTTGAAAGCTCTGAAGACTGCAGTCAGTGATCTAGCAGCACCTCTGGCAATGTCTAGAGGAGCACCGAATTCCAGCAATATGGAAGCGACGGGTCAGCACCCTATTCATAAGGGAAGTGGCCGCACTAAGCCAACCGATTAGTGTCCGACAACGCTGCTTACTGTGCTTTCCAAAACTACGGAATCAATCATCGTGGATGCACTGATGCAGTAGCTGTAACACCGCAGCACAATAGCCTCGGGGCAACATGGCTTCCGTCAAAATCGCTCAGGTGCTACTAAACTGCTAATTGTACGCAATAGGTGCACTGACAAAATTGATAATGAAGTAGGAGTCTATGTCGTCTATTCGGAATTCTCAAAAGTGCTTGACTGCTTGGACCATCGAATTCTTCACTGTAAGCATCAAAACTAAGGAACGTGTGACATCATTCTGCGTTGGATAGGCAGCTTTCTACACGAACGTCGGTTGGAAGTGAAACTTGAGGTGAGATGCTGTGTACCAAAAATCTCGGCGCTATGTTCTTTCGTATTCTTGATAATCAAAAGCCATCTACTACGATCAGTTACTCCAGATTTCACATTCTTCCTACATGATATCAACATATGACGAACTGCCAGGGAACCGGACGACCATGAATAGCTCCAGCGTGAACTTAACATGATTTCGTACTGGTGAGTTCGGAATACTCTCCCATTCAATGTGGGAAAATTTAGTGTTGTTCAGCTCCGCAATGAGCATGACTACGTGTATAGGCTTGGGTAACATGAATTGCAAACCACTTCCTGGAAACTCGATCTCGGAGTGATTACACAAAAGGATCTCAACTGTTCAAAACAGGTGGAGACAGGTGCGAAAAGTGGCAATATGCACGTCGGTCTGCCGTGGTGACAATTCAGAAGTTCTCCCCCATCTATCTTCCCGATAATGCACAACACTTAGCTACTCACGTTGAGTACGTCATCCAAACTTGGCAAACTCGGTTGAAGCATAACCTGGAGGTGCTAGGGACACGTCAACGCAAGCCTATGAATAACCTCAAGGGTCCCGCAATCTGTCCTCCCAGCAAGTACTGAAGTTACTGCAGGATTCAAAGGACGCAATCGACGCCATTCGACGCGCTAAATTTTGTGTACCAAATATTAAGCGACACTAATCACGGATGCCGTCACTTGCTGAAACTACAGCATAACACCAATATCAGCGGTAACTGTCTGAGACCGCGTAACCAATGTACCCGTCTAGAATGCCGAGGGGATTATTTTTCCTTTTTGGGTTTTTCAACCCTGTGCTTGCATCATACCGGCTTTACATGTTTATGAACCTAAGGAGGAAGTACACAGGTGTGTTCTTGCTTGTATGTTTCTCACGCAAGAATCGGATATGACTGCCCCATGTTGTCTTGTATGCTTGCATCCAATTCTCATTTTATACTACCGTTATTCAGCAGTGCATTAGCTCGATAAACCCTTAAACATGTGGCTCACATTTCTTTGAGATGGTAATTTTCACCTCAGCCGTCTTATGGGAGTTGTCAAGCAACTGCTGTTGTACCCGTGATAAACCATTGTTCATTGTCGAGAATTCATGAATCAGCAGAGCCAATAGTTGCTTGGTTTTTTCACAATTCCCGAGATTGGCAGCATAGGGCCATAACAAACGACAGATACAATCGGAGCACTGGATCTACAAAGAGTAAGCCAAATCTGTAACTTGCAAGAGTTGAACGACAGAAACCTACATCAAGGTAAATGACTGCACAGTTCTTCAGTCTGCTAGACAGAAACCCACAATATATATTTCTCACACCCTGAGACCAGAACAAATGATCTTACCTCCCGAGGAGGACATGGGCAGGCTTGCGTCTCAAAGGGTGTCTGCATTCAGTGTACGGTTGTCTTTCGGCAACATCGTGTAGTGTTTGCGAAGATTCACAAGCACATAGTTTACCGTGACAGCGAGTACTTTCCTCCGTAACACCAAAATATGCAGTTGATTTGTGTAACCTCAGCGGGGTCTTCGGGTTACACAATTTCTGTGGCATTATGCACAGTATGAACGTGGTATGTCGCAGAATTGGCTATGCTGATAACTTTGTAACCGCTGGCTATACTCACTTTCTGCAAGCTCAGAAACCGCGGTGTTTATACAGTATCTAATGTGCACTCTAAGAAACTGGACATTTTGCATAGAAAGAAAACGGTATTTTCCAACCTCCAATCATTGCTATCGATGAAAACGTGGTCGTTCCACCGAGAAAGTACCGCGTCAGCATTCAGGCTCAGATTCTAACAGTGGCTAAGGTTAACGCTGTCGCTGTACTCTCCTTACAGATGGCAGTAAACAAGGAGGTGTACAATATGTTCAGCAGGGAAACATGCTGCCCTGTACAAATTACTCCCCATAGTAAATGACGGGAGAATACTGAACAATAACGTAAGTAATTAGCAATTATGCTCAAGAAAGGAAAGTCAGGTAACCTGAACAGGCAAAATGATGTAGGTCCATAGACCGCGAAACTACGACATGAATGTAAACTGTGTATTTAAACGACGGAAACAGTTTCTAATTTTGAATAAATTTTGTTCGTATGCTTTTAGATAAACGCCAGGTGGCACCATGATAAGACCGATCATGTATTAGTTCAAGTCCAAGCTCTTAAAAAGTAACCGTACAATTTCATTTTTCTTACACATTTACCACGATTAGTTCTGGGGCTGTATTGGCTTGGATCCAAGCTTCCTATCATTTGAGCTTCACCATGATTACCCGTAACCAGTGAAAAGTTACTACATCGCAGTTACAACATTGCAGTTCCACTGTCGGATCTCGCAGTGTGGGCCCCTCACAATTAGCTTAAGCTAAAGACCGGTGACTCTTCCCTGGAATCACTATATTTCATACTTTTTTATCTAGTAAATATTGAGTTTGAGGAAAACCTATCTGAAAGTCGTCTAATGTCGCTTGACCGACCTAGCATGTAAGTCAGGGAAATTTAGCTATCGGCAAAAGGTCGATATTGAGACAATATTAAACAGCCACGCTTTGTGGTCCCTGAGAGTGGTCGTGAAGCCGTCCACGGGTAACGTAATCGAAAATAAAGGAAAGTTCTGGTGCACTCCACCCGGCTGTACTGCACTAGCAGTTTCAAGAAGTACTGTCTCAGGTTTGTATTACGGCTGTTACAGTAAGAAGAGGCACACACACATTAAAATCAAGTAGGTCATCATTAGGTCGCCTCCTTATCGGAGACACCATCAGCTTAACAGTCCCAAAGGTTTCACCCTGTGCTCATATGGCAAACTAGGCATTCTAATTGCGCATTTGGAAGCTCGACCTTAAGCCTACTCCGGCGCATTGAGGTAGTGTTTCTGCTTTGACTGACAGGCTTGAATTGAGTATTCGACATGGGGGCGAACATAGGCACAGAGCACCTGTAAGAAACTAGGGATGTCTCTATATCCCAATGCCTGTCCCAACCGCCCAACGTGTTGGTTACCAGGTTTTCATGTCTTTTCGGATTGCCTGGAGCAATCAAAGTAATTCTGAACTGGCACACCTAAGTTACGTCCGACGGAAGGTCACTGCAAGATACCCGTCGTGGGATGCGGTATTTAATTTTTAACAGCAGCCCAAACTATCTACTTTTTTCAGCCATAATCCCCTGGTAACGTGAACGATTAAGTGTGTAAATCCCTCAAGTTTATAGTTAATCTTGGTGCAAAAAGGTTAGCCACAGTTGCTCTCTCCCCCAGATGAATAATAGTAAGGTCAGGAAGGGCTTTTGTAAATCGAACCAATTTACCCCGGTTTCTGTTTGATCCGTCAGTCAGACCCAACCATAACATTTTCAACCATACCCTGGTCGTTCTGAGTAAGTTGAAGGAATCGCTGATTTGTTTCCGATCAAGAAAGATACCCACAGCTAGTGCTGGCTTCTGAGAAAAAAAGGATATTGTTGAAATATCATCATGCTTCACCGCCATTGCGTGGCAATTAGCACTGAGATAAATGCAATACATGTCGTTTATCGCACAATACTGATATGAGATAGCAGCTGTTGGCAGAAAGCAACACCTTGAATATTCATTAAAGCGACCCAATTGCGGTAAATCATGTTTTACTGCTTTTAACTGTGACACAACTGTGTATGAACGGAAATCTCCATGAAAATGTTTGAAAGCGGACGTCTGACAGAACTTATTTATGAACTGTGAATTAGTGTTGGGCAAACTTTTGTGGCTAATCACGGACTTGAAAAATGCAGTTTAACTGCATCTTGGATTTTTTCTGACCAGTCTCCATTACGCACGAGTAGGGTAATCACTACCTAAACACCCCAACATTTTGGGGCATGAGGTATAACTATTGCTATGGAGTGCATGGATGCAATTTCTAAATGCTGGTAACCATTGGTGATTGCGAGCATCCAAACTTATCTCTTCTCTTTTCATCAACCCATCTGCGGAATACTGTATGCAGTTTTTCCATTTTCTTCTCAAAGGACAAATATGTGCTAATGTCTCTTGGCATACTGTGTATCATCAGTATCTGGCACGCCGTAGTCACTTTGTTTGATCCGGATCACATTGCACTGAGAACCGGTCAGTTCGGGAGCTCATCCGAACCACTGGCATCTGAGAGTCCACATACATTTATGCAAACCGACGAGAATACCACTCACTGGTGGATGGATGAAAGTAATGCTTCTATGCTTATCAACTCTGGTACGTTACTCTCTGATGTGGCGTTAGCTTTAGGTTGTCAATCTTCATTTGGTATGTATCGGTAAACATCTTTGTGATTTTGAGGCCCAGCGCGAGGGCTTGCGGCTCCGTACCTGACAACACCAATGACAACGAACATCGAATGTGGCTGAAAGTCATTTCTAAATGCATAAGTGGACTACGGGGCTTTTTTGCTCAGGTTGCAATTCGAAGCAACTTTACTACCTAGTCAACTTTATTTCCATACTCAGTGTCGTTCAGCTTGAAATTTGTAGCACTAGCATATATATAAAGTATACACTAAGTTGTTGTCCATGTCTACGGAAATCCACGAACGAATCCAAACTCTGCGTTGTTGTAGTACAACAGACGCATATGCCTTTTCGTAAGTGACTACAACATCTTGCATCTGTGAGGTAGCTTGGTTTTCAGCTTGGTCGACTGCCCTAGTCGTCATCATCATCATCATACACGTTAGCTAGAGGTGGGGAACACCTCAGCTACTGTGCCGCAATACAAAGAAAAGAAGGAGAGAAAAAACAACTGGTGAAAGCTGGCTGAGCTACCGGTAAACGATGGGCATCGTTCCGGTAAGCTACCAGCCGGCTGCTGTGCACCCAAAAAAAATTATTATGCAAAATTATATAAGGCTAAGTAATGAGATCGTGCTTGGAGGGGGAGGCTAAGAGGGATGGGGTGGGACAAAGAAACTCACAGCACGAACGCCACTGAGGTCGGCTCCTAGCCATATAAGCAAGTGTGTCCAACCAAACGTGTTCATCGTCTTTCGGACCACAACCAGGGAGCCGAGACTTTCCAAGCGAGGCCAGCTCAGAAGTGAGGGTCTTCATTCCTCTGGACCAAGTCATCGCTTGGCCACCCCTCCTCTTCTTCCATCCACACCCCCGGCACGCAAACAACACACGTCGCGGAAGTCGGTGGGCTGGCATGCGTAACACGTGGCCGAGCCATCGGAGCCTGATGCGTGAAATAACGGTGCTGAGCGGTGCAGTTCCTTTTCCTGTGCCATAAACAAGGCGTCGAACACACTCGTTGCTCACGCGGTGTTCCCACCAAATGTGAGCTAAATTACGAAGGCACCGGTGGTCGAACGTAACTAGCCTCTTCAGGTCCGCTGCTTTAAGCGGTCAGGTTTCACAACCGTACAATAGGGTCGAACGTACTGCTGCATTGTACACTCTACCCTTCAGGGCAAGAGTGATGTCGCGCCGGCACCATAAGTGGCGAAGGTTAGCAAAAGTGCCCCGAGCTTTTTCTATACGATTCGGGATTTCATCTTCAATCCCACGGGCGCTGATACAACTTCCCAGGTAGTTGAATGTTTGAACGACTTCTAGCTGATCCCCACCAACAGTCAGTGTAAGAGACGGTCCAGACCAATCTTGGAGAAACGCTTTGCACTTCGAGGGTGCGAAGCAAAGCCCGAAGTGACGGACAGCTAGTGCTAATCTGTCCAGTGCCGCTTGGCACGTTTGTGAGCCGTCACAGATGAGGGCAATATCATCAGCATACTCTAAATCAAGAAGTCGTTCTCCTGGGAGTAGCTCCACACCTTCAAACTGGTGTCCTGTGAACGTGATTTCCATGACTTCGTCCATAGAGAAGTTGAAGAGGAAAGGTGACAGCGGGCATCCTTGTCTCACACCGCTGGAGATAGTAAAAAGCGACGACAGCTTGCCGTAAGCCCTCACTGCCTGAGCTCCGCGCGTATAATGATCGGATAATATTTACCTATTTCTCGGGCACACCTTTCCTGAGTAGACAGTCCCAAAGTGCACGTCTATCCACCGAATCGAATGCACCTTTGATATCAAGGAACACGACAACGGTGGGCCGCCAATATATGTGACGGTGCTCCAACAATTGACGCAAGGTGAAGATGTGGTCAATGCAGCTACGACCTCGACGAAATCCAGCTTGCTCTTCACGGATCTGGCTTTCACGAGTGCCAGTCAGTCTGTGAAGGATGACAGAGGCAAGCAATTTGGAGGCGATGGAGATCAGACTGATTCCTCTATGGCTGCCGCATTCCGATCGTGAGCCTCCTTTGAAAATTGGGACTATGACGGAGCGGCTCCAATCGGTTGGGACAGTTACCTGCTCCCACAGTCTCACTAGTAACTCGTGTAAATCATCCACAATAGCAGGTTCCCCGAATTTGAAGAGGGCTGGAGGAAGGTAATCAGGTCCCGCGGCTTTATTTAACTTCAACAGTTCGATCTCATGTTCGACTTCTGAGCGAGAGGGTGGATCCAAAGGAACAGCCCACGGAGCAGAGCGATCACTGGTCGGCGAGAAATCTAACAATTCCGTCCGATTAAATTGCCTTTCAAAGTGCTCAGCCCAACGTTCCAGGCGTTTTGATAAGTTGTGGGTAGGCTGTGCACTCTCGTCACGTATAGTTTTACTAACACCAGGTCTCCTGCTGCCCGTTTCCCGTATAAGACGGAATAACTCACGATGTTTACCAAGGGCAGCGGCCATTTTCATCTCTGATGCACGATGATACCACCAGGATTCGCGGTCTCTGTTCAGGCTAGCACGGAGTCTTGTCCGGAGCTCTTTGCGAGTTTCATTGTGTTCGCTTCCAGCCGGAATATGCCGGCGAGCATCTACAAGTTCCAAAGACTGTGAAGAGACCCAATGTTCATGTTGGCGATTAGACATACCACATGAGGATTTGCCTGCTGCTAGTAAGCCCGGTTGCATATGAGACCAGTGAGCTTCAATTGCATCCAGTGAGCGTTTATCCAACTCGGATGACAGCGTAATTTGAGAGGCGTTCAGAACAGCTGGATTTACCAGTCTGCCGGTGTCAATGCGCTCACAACATCGTCGCGGGCGTCCGCCAAAGCGCATCCGCAGGTCAGCACATACAAGTGCATGATCGGTGTCAACACCTGCCCTAGTTCAGTCAAGCGATTACCAAACTGCTTTTATACGTCACTTCATGCTATGCACGAGAACTGAGCGAAAGTTCTCCTCGTTGCGGCAGTGAAGCGCCGCATACAATAGATACATCCCACCCACGCATCCACAGTACAAGTAGGACAGGTGCATGCACTTTCATCTCGAATGGGCGAAGGCGGCTTTCAAGTTGAAGCAGCTTGACCAACTCTTCTATTTGCTATATCCACTACCTTTTCTATGTCACTTGTGAAATACAACCTTCCATCGTGTTAAACGTAGGAGGTCTGGATTTCATCGTTTCAATGTTAGCTACGGAGACAAAGAACGTTGCCTGTGCTATTTAATAATGCCTTAAAACCAAGCACAATCATCTTGCCGTAGTTCGTTTTGGACACAAGCTCTTCGTCAGTCTAAAGTGATGTACCAACTGGGGTATTCTCTATTTAACTGAGCTTCTTGGGTTGACACCTTGAAATACAACCATAATAATAATTTGCTTCAAATAACTTTTATTGCACATGCTCCCCAATGCTTTACAAAATATCGCATCAATTGCCTAGCAGTTTACCTTGCATGAGAATCCATTCGCTTCAAAAATGATGCGATACATAAACAAGCCCTACACGATTACTCTGAAGCTTCGCTTCGGGAGTTCTCAATCGGTACTAAATGTATTTTAAATTTAAGTTCCTTTTCATTCTTCAATACTCGATTGCGCTTAGCAGGTTCCTGTCTTTTTCTATTCTTTCAAACAGCTATATCGAAATTTTGGTTGGGTTCGAGTCCTGGTGGTTTAAAGTCCGATTTTTTCCAAAGCGATTCCGACACTGATGGAAATGGGGACGCTGAGAGCGGAGACCAAAAAGTGAATCACACCACCGTGATTGAAAACGTGTCTGAAGAATGTTCATTGAACAACAAAATGGCATGTGAAGAATGGCGTCATGTGCAAACTGTGGAGCAGCACGTCTTTGTCTCTTTCGTAATCATTTACGTGATCGCACATGCGGTGTTTATATTTTGGCTGTATTTTGATGTAAGTTTGACCGCATGTGCTGCATTACTAAGAAAATGGACACAATCGATCCAGTGCTTATCACTGTGGCTTACTTTTCAGGCAAGCAGGAGACGCCGCGAGATGCGACAGAAGGATAAAGAATATCGAGTAAGTTTGTTTTCATACGGTCCTTATCTAGTCGAAACCAAGGTGATCACTCACTTAATCATGACTTCATCTCAAGTGCTGTTGAGCGGAAATCATGGGGTCCTGTTGGCCAAAGTCGATGTTGTTCGTCGACAAGAATTAAAGAAAAATGTTATCACTATTTATTTAACAGTGGCGAACCCACCCCTTATCAGCCGTCTGGCATTCAACACAAGCTTCATGCTAATGTCTCACCCAAAGAAGACCATATGTGAGACGATTATTTACTGAATAGGCAATTATAGTAGACCATAAGACAGATGCATGTCAAGGTGGCGTTGGTTTCTGAGACACTACAATTCACTGTTAAACGAGAAACGGTTGTAAATGACACGTGGTGGATAGACCTGCTGGACAACGTCATCAGCGGATCCAGTGCCTCAGCCCATCGGCTAAAACGGTAGTTTTTCTACAGTATTCCCAGGGATTATTGCCTTCGATACACAACGCGCTTCCCATGTTACCAACCTCAACACCGGAGCTTCTATTCTTAGCCTTTACATCAAGGTGTTCAATGAAATTTCGCCCTCTGTGTAACGTACATGTATACATCTAATGCTTAGTTGACATAAAACTCACTGCTATGTTGACGTCCAATTATTAAGTCCCTTTCCATCCACTACCACCGCTACTTCTGATACATGTACTAACGAAGAGTTGGCACCTCGAGCCGAAGCCAGTCAGTTCCTTAGACCTGCTCAAGGTCGTTGTGCTAAGCTAGTGAAATGGGATGTCAAACAATATTGTGAGCTCGACAGTTAGCTAGTTCAATAAGACGGTTAAACGCTAGATGCTCTGTTGCACGGAACTGGACGAAGCAAATTTCGGTAAAAGTTCCTAGAAAGTGGATCCATCACTGGAGCCAAAATAACTTGCAAACACCTGTCAATACCCCGTGCATAAGCACCATGATCACATAGTATTTTAAATAGCAATGACAAAGGTTTTTTATCATTCCTCTCCCAACCTATGAATTGCCTGGTGACCTTCGCTTTAGGCCTGTGTTTAACGCGTAGTAAACTCACAATCGGATTATCATGGTAAGACGGAGAAACGAGAACTAGGTACGCGAAACTCGCACCCGGTCTAAGCATGACGCGACTCACTAACACCCACAATGACTTCCTAATATTGCGTCCTATCACTGGTGACACGGCTGAGCAACGAAACTTCAAGAGCACAAAACGGAGTCGGTAGTTCACAGAGGTTCGCAAGATTTACACTGATACAGCTAAGACTGATTGTTCGGAATATCTTAATTGTTAGCCCGCGGATTAGACCAACAAAATCTTGGTTAATCACTGTTTCGCAATGGCGCATTTGGGAGTAGCATTGTCTCCGCTGTACACAACCCCACAGCTAAAAGAACCATAACGATTACAATCAGTCGTAAACATGAGCTGATTCTGCACAATCAGATGCTCAGATTGCTTGCGTTTTTGACTTGCCAATACAGAGTGCCTCAAAACGCCGACAGGTACGGTTAGAGTAAATTTCAAATACGTAACCTGAATGATTAAACGCGGGTGAAGACTGTCCGAATAAGCAAATAGCTACCAGATGGACTTGTGACAGCAGAGTATCGAATAAGCGACTGGGGTGTGCGCGAGACTGCGTAGACAGGTAGCTGAAAAACCAATGACCCTATCGAGTGGTGGACGGTGATTTTATCCAGGTTAAGAGGCGTGCACATTACAAGTCCCTTTGAGTAATCTGACAGGTTACCAAGACATTGTAAAAGTAACAGCTTGTTTCATCTGGTAAATGTTCGAGTGTTCTTTTATAGTATTTGCAGTTCAGTAGTCCTACACTCTACGTACTTTCGCAGTACAAGTGGGTGACGGATAGTGAATGCAAGTTCTTCCAATGGTGAGACTGCGTAATTATGTTAAGAGGGCGTCATCCAACCGATTTATAAATATGGCTGTTGTGAGAGAGAAGACAATAAGTCAGGGTAGTGTGTTCCAGGAATGGAATACATGAATAGTAAAGATATTTCTGTGTCATCAACGACAGCTTTACTGTTCTGACAGTTCCAAGGAGTGACCATTCATGTCTTGTTACTGTTGCGCTTTAGTAAAGAATAACACGTTTGAAACGGTGCAGAACCAAATGCGACATGATTAAGTGACTTTTATTGGGAAATACCAAACGTTTCTTCCTCTTTTCGCACGGAAGATTATACATTTCAACTATGTACTTGGAATGGCGATGTTGGGTTTGCTGTAGCGCAGTGAAAGCGTATTTCGGTCATAAGTGCTGGACTTGACCAGTGTATACGATGTGAGGATGGACATAAATGTTGTTTATCTGACTGAAAATCTGAATGCCGGTGTTTCCGAACACCCGTCGCATGAGTCTGACGTCTTTTCTGACAGGTTTCGCAATCTTTTATCATTACTTGGGACAACCGAAGTTATCCTAGACCAATAAGCCTAGGACATGCTACGCAGAAAAGCGCCGGATTGCACGTGTCCCGTGAACATAGGGGCGGGTACTTTGGTGCTGGGTGAAGATCAACATGCATTTATTCACGGTGAACTACATCAGTCGGTTTCTTGTAGTAAGCTAAGTACCACAGGGAGAAACGAATAATGATGGAGGCGCGCACTTCGTAGATCAGTACCAACATAATAGCAAGCAATGTTGCTTGATCGATCGCAGAGCAACCGGAGGTGATCATCCTAAGACCATAGAAACCGAAGATCGGCAACCAACGGTTTTTGCACACATTGGACACCTCTTATCCGTTTTATCACTGCGGGCTCGGCGAATCGGAAGATAAGCGAAGTCGGGGGATCAAATTCTCGGAGGATACTTGGAACCGATTGAGAAGTCATGACCACAGATGAGTTTGGAAACAGTCGGTTTGTCAATTAGTTAGGTAACGTTTCACTTTTGACACAAAAGATTTTTCAGGCGAGGTGAATCAGTGTGCAAATGGAGTCATATTTTATAGCCAACTGGGACTATAATCACGATATCCGAGACATGAGCCAAGGTGATTTTACAGCCAGATTTCGCGGTGCCATCTCAGGGGGTTTAATCACAGTGCGAGTAGTCGAAGTGTTCATTTGTGCGTCATGGCACTGAAGGAATTCATGTGACATAATGGAATCTGAAACGCTAAGAAAGGGTTATTCTCTGAATCGGACAATAACATGTGTAACGCTACAAAGAGTTTGAAAGCTTAAACCATGCGTATCCCACTGGAATATTCAAAAAAATTTAACTCCGGACCTGAGGTAACGGTGGTGTTCGTAAGAATTCATTGTATCAATGTAGAGATTAGCTTAACGATTTCCAAACTCAAACTTATGTCCACAATTAGCGCTCAGATCCACGAGCGCCCCATGAGTTTAGACGTGCGAAGGAACACAATGGAATCAAACTGAGACGCATATGGCAGATGATAGGAATTCAGATGGACCACTAGTAATAGGTATGCGTCCGCCAATGAAATATACTACGGCAAGGTCTGCTACACCAGATGTACAAGCTGTGAGATACTAATCGGTCAAATCAAGGAAAATGGTGCCATGTAAATAAGGCTGAACATAGGAGTACTTGTGCGTAGAAGTGAAAATGTGGTAGGACGTGGACGAACTGGAACTCGCACACTAAGTCAAACAGTAAAGGCGTCAAGGTAGGCAGCGTTGGAACAGAAAATGGACAAGTGGACAGGCACACGAGTGATCCGTGTCGGGCCATGAGGCTGATCAAAGTAGAAGCAGATAGTTGACAGGGGTGAGCCTTGGGTGGTCGCAAGTTTGTTCTGCAAGGTATGCCTGCCTCTTGATGACACAGGTGGTTCACGTGAACAGAGAGCACTGGATAGGAATTGATTGGCCACACGTTAAACCCACTTGAGGAGGTGCTCTTTCACAATGGAATTCAAAGCCCTGTCGGTTCCCTCTGTGTAACGGACCCTTCAGTCACGCAAAAGTTGGTAAACCTAATATGATTTAGCATCTATTGGTTCCGCTTCCTTTACTGAAAGAAGCAACAGCTTTCGGCTTTTTTTCGTTACTACACACTCTGCGGCACATTATGTACTCTGAATGGTACAGATCAAATGTCACGGTAGCAGTGTTACCTTTAAATGGAATATTGATGCAGAGAGCTTTAGTGTTTTTAAGGCCACTTCTTTGGGAGAACAGACTTGGTTGTTTCTCGATGAAACACCTATGGTAACCGTTTTCCAAAAATATTCTGGTACTATTCTCTATCTTCTCAGTCAGCCGAATTGTGCGCTATACAGATTCATGAAGAGTACTAACTGCTTTACTTTTCTCAAACGACGAATGCATGCTGGAACCACCCACCTGCTACATCTTATGATTCCCATTTGGTGCAAGCTTGATGATAGAAGTTTGAAAATAACCAGAGTGCATTAGCTTACATCGTTATTCATGGTTAGTACTGACACCGTTGCGTTGGGACAAATTCGTGCCTTCGAGCACCAACCTCAGACACACTGCTTCGGATCGTTTGGATACAATACAATCAAAATTAGTGAATCAGCAAGAGACTCACGCTCGTCTGATATCAGTTCTCGCAGCCCTATTCTTCTGTTATCGTATAACCCTCACCAACATTTTAAAGCTGTCATTTTGCTAACTAACCAACTTGTTGGTGAGGTCAACGGGGAAATCGGTACCTTGATCCCGGTAAGTATGTGCTGAATATATCAACTTCTAACCTTGACGATCTACAGTTAGAAATTTCGCCGTTGGATATCGATTAAAAACCAAGTTGCAGTAAGCTAAATCGACTAGTGGTCGATGCACAGCCCGTGATCTTTCTCGGTTACTTGAGAGAATTCCAAGCGACCAGTCAGGACACTGTCGGTTGGTCTAGAAATAAAGTGAGTGACAATGTTAAAGAAGTTCTCATAGTTCCGACAAGTGGAAACATTTGGCTCACAAGTCAGCCAGTGCACATCTTTTCCCTGTGTTTTA